AGAAAGCGAGGCAGCACAGCTGTGAAGTCCATTTGAGTGATGGGGACTGATTCTGCCAAACAATCCCTGGTGAATCTGAAATGATAAAAAATATATCCCCCCAGTTTCACAGACAAGGCTTAAGCCTAGTCCTAGACTTAAATGTAAATCTGAGCCGTTTCAACTGAAATAAACTTGCACTGACTGATCTTAAAACACGAGAGTGCCTCTGTTTTGTCTTAAGATGCACACCAGTAATGCTTTTTTCTAAGGCATGTTTATAACAATTACTTAAATGTCCTAATTGAACTAGGCTAAGCCCTGTCTATGAAACCGGGCCATTGACTACAAATTCATTGTCTGAGGAAGTGGAGTTCTTGTGTGTGAATCATGTAAGATCAGACATTATGAACTGAGAATTTACTTGAGCTGGGTTTTGGAGCATCTTTTCAGCAGCTGACATAGAAATTCTTTTCTTTGTCGGTCCGTCCACAGATCAAACCAATGGAGGATGAGAGTTGTTCTTTCCTGAAAAAGCTGCAAATTTGTCAGATTTAAACGTTGTTGTTCAGTGTGTGTGTGTGTGTGTGAAAAATGTAAAAATAAAACTTAATTTAAAAAAAGAAAAAGCAGCTAATTTGTCAGATTGTGTTGTTGTAAAAATAAATTATGTACATATATTCACACACACACACACACACACACATATATACATACATTATATATATTACATAAATACATTATTTAAAAAAGAACAACTTTTTCTGACCTGATGGTTACATGCTTTATTTGTCACAGGCGTCCAGGCACTGAATCTGGTTTCTGTGCCGGCGTCAAAGCGCGACGCGTCTAACGCCTGTCTGTAGTCACTTCCATTCATCTGCCATTGATGAATCATTTCCGGATTTCCGCGGGTTTTTGACTTATGATGGGTTCTAAATTCCACAGACGTCATAATAACGGTTAAAGTAGTTTAAACAGTCCAAAACTAAAACCGTATTTCCCTGTTTGTAGGTAAAATAACAAGCAGACATATTCGTATACGCTCCATAAAATGAATACGAGTTTTGCGCGAAAATGAGGGCTTCTGCTCGTT